TTCTAGGGTCAGGGAATACTTTATTTCTGCCTAGTTACCTTGGATATCGTCCGTTCTGTCAGGGCAAGAGTGTTTTATCGAGGTTGCTAAACCACTGGTTCCAATTCGACGTCGAAGATTAATGGTTGTCATTTCTTCATTGATTCTCGCCGGGTAAGAAAGCCATTGATAAAAACATCTTGAATTCTTGTGCGTGTTTCTCGTTGCTACCCCTGAAAATAAAATCGGGGACTTAGATACAAAAAGGGGGAACAATACTCAAAGCAGTAAAGTGGAACAAATTCTTCACGACAGCCGCCATGATAACTGTTATTTAGACTCGTTACCTTCGAGGAGAAATTCGTCCTTTACTGTTAGTGTAATGATCGCGCATTTTTATTAATCATTTTTCAAATCGATATGTTTTTTTGGACCCCAGATTGAGAGTTCTTGATTCAAACCCTTGGTGGGTTATTTGTGCTGTACTCGTTGATTGGTTCTGCTCCCTCAGGGATAGGGGCGCATTTCATTTTAGCCATGCACTCGTGCGCTCGCGTTATTGTTCAGACCGTTTAGTTGAAATTTCAATCTTTGGTTTTTATTTTCTCAGTACCCCTCAAAATGATAATAATAGTAAAACAGTTTATGTTCCTTGGAACAGATATTTTTTGGGCCTTCTCAAAGTCATTCAAACCTTCGTCTAGTGATTTCAGATAACATAAACTCTTTTGTTTTATCATAAATTGCTACGGGAAAACTGCAGGTAAACTCAAGAAAGTACTCTTAGTTGACTGTAATGGGCTAGCATCTAGTCATAAGGGGACATTGTTACTCCTGATCACTTGCATGCCATAATCGCAAAACGGGTTGACCTTGACTTATGACAGTCTCCTATGCAGAGACTAACCGTTATTTGAAATCTATTTTTACTTGACTTTTGGATGTTTAATTTAACGCTAACCCACTGTTTAAGACTAGTAACTCGTCTGATTCTTCTACGATGAGTCGTAAGAAAACAAATTTCATCTCCCAGCTCAAGGTTTTTTTAGTTTTCTAACAAAGTAACTTATCCAGGCTTTGGTCTGTGTCAAACTCGTAAAGTTAGATGCATTCAAGACTGACCAAAGTCAGAAAAAGACCTTTCAACACGGTCTGTTTGTTTGTTTGTTTTTTCATTCAATACCGTTACTTTGACGAATTAACTACTGCTCTGTGTAGGCGGCTGATGGTGAAATTGATTAAGTTTATTTTACCCCTTTTTCTGTCAAAGACAAAATGAGTATCTCCGCAGGAGAGCCTAAAGGATTTTTTGGGGAAATGATTGAGAGCGAGGGAATTGATTTTTAAAGTTGGATAAATTACGCTGTCGTTTCAACTTGTCCTGCGCATGGCACGACACTGCAATGCACATTACACTTAGCAGAAGCACTTAAAAAGTCAAGCAGAATATATTAAGTCCCTCCATTAACATGTAGAATCTTACCTTTTTGTCTTCGAATCAATGATGAAGGGAACTATATTCCTAAACGTCTCGTTTGGTTCGTGAACTAATCGTGCAAAATCATTTCTCACAACATAGCTGTGGTATTGCTAGCATGCTTCGGGCGATTATAGCTTTTGTTGTGCGAATTCATTGCCTCCATTTTCCTCAAAAATGGTCTTAGAGTGCCTTTCGTTAAGTCTTCTTTGCCAAAACAATAGTTTTGAACTAAAAAGCAAACCAAAGCGGAACCAAGAGACCTAAAGTCAAAAACATAGCGGGTGTTGTGAAATACCGCTTCAAGTGAAATTTACAACTACAGAATTGGAACGTAGAACAAATGACGACTGGATCTTAGAGATATTTTATAAGATATCAACGTAGTAATAAGGAGAGAAAAACAGAATCCTGTTCAAAAAACAAATGAAGGTGAAAGAGTGACAAATGTGATCGCTGTAGAAAAATCATTAGCCGAGGAAACAAAAAAAGTTTCGCGGCGTTGCCCTAGGGAAACCTTGTGAAATGATAATAACGTCGTCGCTATCATTAATTTGTGTTCGAATGAATTTAATTGAGAAGGTCGGTACCAATTTAAAAACAGGTGTCGGTTTTTTTTTTTTGTTTTGAGCGAACGGAGACAATTTGTTTGTAGTCTAAAAGTTGGGAACCTTCCTAGGTTAAACAAACAGAAACGGAGATCCAGTGCTGAAGTATCTTTCCAAACTGCCAAAGCCAGGAGTAAACCAACGCAAAAAACCGGTTTTGGAAGAGGCTCTACAGAACACAAATAACAGAGACGACGGTGAAAATTGTAAAGAAGAAGGAAGAGATCTGTTTTTCTGTCCAGAAGAGGGATGTGTCGAGTCCTTTCAACAATACTTATCGCTACTGAAAACATCTGGACTGTGGTAAACACCAGTATGCCCTGGATACCAAACTGAAATACCAAACTGGAGCGTGGTGCTGGTGTCCTACCAGAAATAGTTGATGAAGGAGCATCTATGTCAGTGGAGGATCATGGCTCTATGCTACCGATGGGATGGGCTCTTAAGTAAGCAGGTTTACAAAGAAAGAGTCTCACGGTGGCGCAGAAAAACTATCTGACTAGAGTCTTTCAAGTTGAAGAACACAGTGGGAAAAAAAGTAATAATAATTACCGATGGTAACATTTGCTCTTAAATATTATCCACTTTGCCTTTATGTTATTGGCTGTACTCAAGAACTCAAGACCCGTTCGTCAGTTAGGATTGGTCAGTTTGGATCAATCGGCAGCCAAGTCGCTTTGTTCTCCTAACTATTGTCATTCTAAATTTCATGGAAGGTCGTAAATAAAGTGAGTTTATTTGTTGACATATCTTATGATCTGTCCATTCTAAGTTAGTAAAACAGCTCTCTCCAATCAATCTCTAGAATCAGCTCTCTAGAATCAATCACTGGTGCTGTTGATGAAACAAAATGATCTAGTAACACCCCCTCCCCCCCCCAACACACACACACACTCCTGACACATAAACACGCGCACAGACACAAACACACGCGCGCTCACACACACACACACACACACACCGACGCAGCAGATGAGGTGGCTTGAAAAAAATACTGGAAAAATTAAGTGAAAGTTGTAGTAAGATCTAAGAATACGTTAGTGACGCTTCTTTCAAAATGAATAAAAACCAACCAAGCAAACAAAAGAGGATCAGGCCTGCAACGACCGCTTGGCACGCGCACATCATTTTTCTCATGATTACTATCATTATCTACGGTTACTATTCACTATTGCGTTGGTTTATCATTGATCTTCAAGCCTGGGTTGTCTCTATGGGTGCCAGGCCGAAAACAGCTTCAACACTTTTCTTAGGATTGTGGCTGGTTACAAAAAAGAAGCAACAACGAAAGTCTCTTTGTGTAAGCTCCACTGACTGGTGTCCACACCAATACTGCTGGGTTGTTTTTAAGGCTCGTTTGGACTCTTCTTAACCTAGGAGTGACTAGTTTATAATTTCTCTTCACAAATCACCCCTAAATCGCACATTAAGGTCATTAGAATAAAGGAAATTATCACCAACTAAAGCGGCTCTTGATTGTTAAATAAATCCTTTCTCGTCAACACCTTATGAAATCTCTAGAGAACAGTATGAAGAATATGCATACTGATATTATCAGTCGTCGATCAATTCGAAGCTTTACATCTACCCGGGGGCAACCTCGCTGGGCATTTGAACTTTCGAAGACTGGTGACTGGTTCATTTCATTTCCCGCCTACTGGTGGATAATAGTGTTCAAATGCCACAGCAAAGTGCCGGATTTGATGATCAATTTTTTTTTGGTAAAAGGTTAGATCAGCGACCGTGACTTTTTGGTAGACCTTTTTATTCTGAGCCATCGGCTCTCAAAAGAGAACTGCTAACATTAAAACACCTCCATATTAAAAGATAAAACACATCTGTTCCACTGGAAAGACTTGACAGATCCGGTTCAAATTCCCAAACGCACTCAGCGAGGTTTAAGTCTTCTCCCAGGGCACGGGGAGGACGTTGAAGCTTTTAATTGATCAGGGTATTAGGATGTAAAGGGCTGATAGTTTTTTTACCACTAAAACTAATTTGGTTCGGACTGAGCTATCAGCCGTCCGCCGTTCCCTTGTCGGAGAAGCGTGGTAGTATACCAGGTCAGTCCGCCGACTCGTGTGCTGCCTCACTATCACGCGCCAAAAGAAATAAGACCACCTCATCACAGGTTAGGCTCACTCTTCACATTTTCCCAGTCCACTTCTCTTGTTAGAACCTACTAACTCCTCACCGGTTTCATTTTCATTTACCCTGTTACTTGGATCGTGTACCACAGCGAGTTCATTTACTTGAGAGGCTTGATCATGTTTGTTGTGTACCACCATATCAGGTCTTAGTCGGATCTCGTGACCGGTTGGGAAACTTTTATCTCGTGAAAGTTTGAAATTTTCATCCTGTTTGACACTCTTCGGTTCATGTTCATACTAATTACATTCCCAACTTAAAACACATTACCACTTTGTGTAATTCTCTTGCTACGCTCTCTTTCATACTTGTGATTAGACGAGGCAAAAAAGAAGATGCCGAATGAAACAATTTTCATATCCTTTTCCAAGAAAATCCTTTGGGCGCACATTTTCATCAAACTCCCCATCTCTCTCTCCCCTCCTCCCCCTTTCCACCACCACCACTCTCATGATTCGATTACTACTCTAGTATGTTCAATTATTCTGACGCATTGAGCCGACTGAGGAGTTTCTTCAGCTCTCCTCTCGTGTCTTTGTGGCATATTGTTCCTCACTTATCCTCAGAGTGAGGACTTTTTCGTTCGTACAATACTTCAGTCGAAAGGTG